AGAAGACTTTCCCAAGCAATCATATTATAATGTTTGAGTTACTGTGGTAGGCAAAATAATGGCTCTCCAAAGATGTCCACATCCTACTCTCTGAAATTTGTACATATGCTACCTCACATAGCAGACTTTTGCAGATACAATTAAGGTTAGGGAGTCTGAGATGAGATTATCCTGGATTATCTGGGTGAACTCCATCAAATCACAGGAGTCCTTAGAAACAGAGAACCGTTCCCTACCGTGGGCAGAGAGAGATATGACAACAGAAGAAGGGTCAGAGAGATGTAACGTTGCTAGCCTAGTGCTGAAGACAGAGGAAGGGGGCCACTAGCCAAGGAATGTGAGTGGCCTCTAGAAGCTGGACTTAAAGGCAAGGAAATAGATTCTTCCCTAGACCTTCCAGAAAGGAATACAACTCTGCCAATATCTTCATTTTAGCCCAGTAAAACCCACATTAGACTTCTGTCCCACAGAACTATAAGATAATACATTTGTGTTGTTTTAAGCCACCAAGCTTGTAGTGATGTGTTACAGCTGCACAGAAAAACCAATACAGTAGCCTATATTCTTTCATAGATAATGAAGAGAATTTACTTTTGGAGGAAATAATGGGATGTCCTGTTAAAGAACAGAATTCATTTATTGAACTAGTATAATTTAAGGTAGAGGCTTTTCATAAAAATTTGTAAATATATGCTTTAAATCCATTTTAAACCTTTCAGACAATAGTCCAATGTTAAGTGTTACAAATAGGTGAGTCAACAAAACCTGTTCTCATGTCACCCAGCTCCCTCGTCCAAAACAAGTCTGTGATACCAAAAAGAAGCCAGTATGGGTGACCACCCTTCCCCACTCCTGTGGATTACTCACTCAATGAATTCCTCTTTACACTGCTGTAGCATCTCACATGTCTGCTGAATCTCTTGCTCACTCAAAAGCACCAACATCCCAATTGTTAGGTGAAGCTTTTTGGGATTCTGGAAAATGGTGCTATTAACTCCATGATCCTGTTATCAAAGGGAGAGAAACAAGAAACTCAGCCCATATAAACGTAAATTTTATTTATTTTTAGAGTCTAGAACTTAGAGTCCAGAAATAAGCTCATACATTTATGACCAACTGATTTTCAACCAGGGTGCCAAGACAATTTAATAGAGAAAGGAGAGCTGCTTCAACAAATGATGCTGAGACAACTGAATATCCATATGCAAAAAAGTGAAGGTGGATCCCTACCGTACTACATACAGAAACTACATCAAAATGAATAAATGACCTAAATAAAAAAGCTAAAACCAGGTGGTCAAGTGGCTCAGTTGGTTAGAGTGCGTGCTCTAAACAACAAGGTTGCTGGTTCGATTCCCACATGGGATGGTGGGCTGCGCCACCCCACCCCCCAAACTAGATTGAAAATGGCGACTGGACTTGGAGCTGAGCTGCACCCTCCACAACTAGATTGAAGGACAACGACTTGGAGCTGATGGGTCCTGGAAAAACACACTGTTCCCCAATAAAGTTAAAAAAAATAAAAAGCTAAAACCATAAAACTCTTAGAAGAAAAATAGGGGTAAATCTTCATGACCTTGGAGTTGGCAATGGATTCTTAGATTTGACACCAATAGTAAGGTCAACAAAAGAAAAAAAATAAATTAAGCTT